ATGTGTAATCATATGGGGATAAATAAAATGTGTTTTATTTATGTTCATAGGTTTTGATACCATATTGGATTCAATTATTATTGTGTTTCACTTTGCATGTTTTGACTTCCCGAATAAACTAGGTTATTCTTCCGGAATGACTAAGTTATTCAAACCATCCACAGTCGGTCATATGTTAGAAGTAGATATGAATTAAGACTATCATGGGTTGGCTTGTAGAGGTCTAAGATGTTGGACAAAGGGCTACAACACTCATGAGTGCTCATAAGTTCTGAGTATTGGATTCAACCCGCGCTCATTGGAATCACTTCATGGATTTTAATCACGAGTGATCATGAGACGATAATATCTTATATTCTTCAAACCTAGAGATATGAGTTGTTACTATGAGTTGGTTATACATTGATTGCACGAAAATGCATTTGGTAACTCGGTGCTATAAAACGTGCCTTTGTGTATGATTCAGCAAGTAGTAGAACAAGCCATATGAGTCGAAGTTTATCCATTCCTTTTACCTTCGGGATAAAAGCGATATCTGTGGGCCCCTCGATGATTTGATGATGACAAATGGAAGTGCTCGGCCGGGCCAGGACTGATTTGATTTGTTCAATTAGTCAGTCGTCATAAATCGGAAATCGGGAAACAACAAATGGACAGAGAGAATGATAATAATCCATGTCTCAGTCCATATGATATCTAGAATGGAGGAATATATGATCCCTTATCTAATGGACAAGTCATTGACAAAGGTCAGAGTTCATCTACAAGGTCAAAGTTCGACAAAAGCTTTTGAGAGCTACGATTGCCAGTTGGTTCCTGAAGTCATACGCAATAATAGTTTTAGACTTATCCAAGTGGGAGATTGTTGGATTAATGTCTAAGTCCATAACTATAATTGGTAAGACTTGACCCGACTCGGCATGGTCCATTCGGGTTGCATGGCATCATACACTTGGATAGACTATAATCAGAGAAATAAGACACTTATGGTTATTAATATATTATAAGTTCTAGTATATTAATAATAAGAATAATAAGATTATTTAATTAGTATTGATCAAGAATTAATCTAGGATTAATTAAGTGATCAAAAGAAGACTAATTAAATATATGGGTTGATTGTGTAAATCATCCATACTTGTATAGTGGGCTAATGCTCCATGGATTATCTAGTTCGGCCAAAACCCATATGATGCTCCATGGATGCTCCATGGTGTATTTGAACCCATGGATCCAAGGAAATGGAAATTCATGACAATTAGGGTTTACCCTAATTGTAACACTATATAAACATCTTATTCTTGATCAAAATCGGCCACTAGTGAGAGTAAGAAAGGGCTAGCCGATTTTCATGAAGTGTAGAATTCTCTCAAGTTATTCCAAGTGTATTTGGTGTTGTGTGAACCATTTGAGGTGTCACACTTGGGGCACTAGGCACTCAAGCTTCATGAAGACAAGCACTAACAAAAGGTATGTTATTCTAACTTGTGTTATTCAACGTTTAGTATGCTAGAATAGAACAATACCTTGGAAAGTTGATATTTGCATGTATAATAGAGAAAACATAGATCCAAGGTATTTAGGGTTGCATGTACACTTAGGAGTGTTAGAATGCTCATAACCCAACAAAAACAACTATTTCATCTACCCATGTTTTTCCCAACACGTTTTGTAGATATAAAATATGTATACAGTTTAAATCATTTAAAACATGTATAAAAATCTTTCACTCAGCATAGACAGCAAGTATTCAGACAATATGTACACATAGCACGTAATTTATATTAAAATACTTCATATGTATGTGTAAGATGAAAGGGACTATGCACTCACAACACGTAAATTATATAATAAATACTTCATATCTATGTGTAAGATGAAAGGGACCATGCGCTCACCTGAGAAGGTGGTGACTCGGTACTCGGACATCGCTTCGCACTACTAGAAAAACAGCCTTTTACGACGCTCATTGCGCGTCGTAAAGGGCTCAGACGACGCGCAAATGCGCGTCAGGGAAGGCCCTGTCATAAAGAGAGACGACGCGCTTTTGCACGTCGTCTATAGACGACGCTCATATACGACGTGCGTTTACGACACGCAATGCGTATCAAGAAAGGTCCTATCATAAAGGAAGACGACACGCATTTGCATGTCATAACCTTACGACGCGCGTGTTAATGACACACAATGCGTATCAAGAATGCCCTTGTCAAGAAAGGCCATGTCATAAATGAAGATGACACACATTTTTGCGTATCGTAAATTTAAATGTTTAAAAAAAATAAATTTATATATTTATTAATATTTAAATTAAATTTTCATTTAATTTCTCATAATATAAATAAAATACCATATACAAAAAATACAATCCATTGCATAATATAAAATAAAATTTCATACTCAAAAAATAAAATAAATTGCACAAATTATAATGTCATACAAAGAATAATTCAAATGTTAAACAAAAATAATACATTGCTAACATGGGTTATACATTCCTATAAAACTAACAAATAATAATACAACTCTGTTTCTTACCAGAAACATTTCATGTTATTTGTTTCTGCCAACGCCTTGTGTGCGTACCACCTGCTTAATGTGTACTAGAAAGGAATGCCAAACATGATTACAAGTCTCCCTTAATCTTGATTACTCACCTGCTTAAGTAGAATGTTGTTGTTGAGAAGGTTACCTAGCAACAGAGAAAAACACAACACCTCTTCCAGTAATAATGTCCATAATAAGTGTAGCCATTTGAGACATGAGGACCATAGGGTAAACTCCCAATTCGATCAGTTCTCTGGCTCTTTTCACAGTTTCAGTTGTGTTTGATGACATTGCTAACTCCAGAAGTTCCAATAAATTCTCATCAGAGACAACTCCTACCTACAATCAACTCCAAAAGAATTAGTAAAAAGTTTGAATAAAAAGTTACATGGATCAAGAAACCAGTAGATTAGATACTTACAAGTTCATTTCCAGCCTCTAAAGCGTCTGCATCTTTTTCATTACTTTGATTTACATCATCACCATGTGCATTTTCTTCCATCACTATATTACCATGTGTTGTATTAAAGGGGCTTGTCAGTTGATCACCCCCAAGTTTTACAAACTCATTTATCTGCATAAATTTAATAAAAAATTGCAGGAATTCTCAAAAAAATCTCATTACAATGTGCAACTAAATTTAAAAAAAGGAAAAAAAAAAAGACTTACTCATGTGATTGCAGTTCAACGGGTGAATTCATCAGGGGAAGATGCTCTTTGTACAAGTATTTCTGCCATGCGACCGTAATCTACAGACTTCATCAGTACCACTCCTAAAGTCAGAAATTTACAAATAAATGACAAAATTTGCTACTAAAAAATATGAGGTTTAATAAATATATTACATATACAAAAGTTAGATAGAGACACCTCAAATATCAAGTCCTTTCTGGTGATCATGCCAATCACATGAGAAGCACGTGGAACTACAAATATATGCCTCAATCCTAATTGACAGAATAGATTAGGACTTTTAGTCCTTAGAATAGCAGCTACATCAGCAACTTTCACCACACGAGTGAAGTAACAAACCTATCAAGTGTACAATCAATCATTACATGCAAATATCAAACACAAACGTAATGTTTGGTTATCATGGAATAGGGATGGAATGAATTTTTTTTAATAAAAAACTTTTATTTACAGATACACAAAATTAAACATAATACAACTCATTAGAACCCAAATAAGACTTTAATATAAAAGATAACTTTCTAGTTATTTTTAGGAATAAAATTATGAATTTCTTTTCTTAATAAAAGAGATTTGTATCAGTAAAGGCTACAGGGATGCGTACTTTCATTTTACGGTTTCATCTAAGATAGTTGATGCACAACCAATAATCTTTTCCATTGGTAGTTCCCAACTGCTGAATATGTTTCCAGCCATAAAATGAATGATGCGAGAATATAAATAAATGGACAAATTGCAGGAGATGTACTTTATGTCCATCCAATTACAACATTGTACCTTCTTTTGTTTCATATCAAGACATTATACTTTGAAAATTACAAACCAACTACTGTTCCAGACAGTATGAAAGCAAATGACCAATTTGCCCTTTCTCCCAACAAATACCCATCAAGCTTTTCCATCATTCTTTTCCAAAATGTGATTTTATTTATAATTTTTTTTGTGTATCTAATAAAAAAAATCTAAATGGAACTTAACAAATCTATTCTGGAACAAGAAAAAGCAGCTCACACATCGATTTCTTTTCAACTGATTAATTTTAGATAAACAAGACACTGACAATAAAAGAGAGATAATCAAAAGGAATCCACTAAAACAACAAAAACAGAATCATATATAACTCTATGTAACCGATATTATTAATAATTCATAATAATAATAATAATAAGATAGACAACATGAGAAGAAAAGAAACAAAAGCTTAGCAATAGACTAGACCTGAGCAGTGCCTTCAGTAAACTTAGGATCCTCACACCTGTAACTTCTATCAGGTCCAATTCCAAACCCTCTTGGATCTGCAAACACATTTTCCAGCAGTTGGCTTCTTGAAGGAGGAGGGCTTTCATCTACAAACTCCACAGCTTCCTCAACCACCTCATCTATCTTCTTCTTTATCGCCTTTAAATCTGCTTCACTTGCCAATTTGTTTTCAGTCAGGTATTTCTTCAATCATGTTATTGGATCCCTTGTTGCATAATGAGCCTTCTCAGCTGCAATTCACAATACAAATATACAATCACAACAAATTTCAATGTTACGTATATACAAGAGTAAAAGACTAAAAGCAACTCACCTGGGTCATGAAGCTCATCATGATCAGCCAAAGAGTGTCCTCTGAATCTGTAAGTCTCACATTCAACCAAAGTTGGGCCTTCTTCTCTCCTAGCTCTCCCAATAGCCTCCTTTGCTACCTCCCTCACCTTCAACACATCCATGCCATCAACATGGACACCTGGCATCCCAAAAGCTGGACCCTTCTTCTAGATTTCTGGATCTGAAGTTGAACGCAGATGGGACATCCCAATTGCCCACAGAATGTTCTCCACCACAAATAGGATAGGCAATTTCCATAGAGTTTCCATGTTCAAACACTCAAAGAACTGCCCATCATTACAGGTCCCATCTCCAAAGAATGCCAATGTCACATGATCACAATCTGCTTCATTCAACACTTCTCTCCTGTACTTGCTACTGAATGCTGCACCTGTGGCAACAGGGATGCCTTCTCCTATAAAGGCAAACCCTCCAAGAACATTGTGTTCAGCAGAGAACATGTGCATGGATCCACCCTGACCACGGTAACACCCTGTTTTCTTCCCAAACAACTCGCTCATCACAGCACGAGCAGGCACCCCCTTGCTTAGAGCATGAACATGATCACGGTAGGTGCTCACAACACTATCCTCTTTCTTCAACAACTTGATGAACCCTGAGAAACAACTTCTTGCCCGTTGTATAAATGGACAAAACCAAACATTTCCCCCCTGTAATACATCTGAGCACACATGTCCTCAAAAGCTCTCCTCAATATCATGTCCTCGTATACTTCTAAACCTTCTTCTTTGGTGAGCAGCTGCAGAGTAAAATACAAAAATCAATTTGTTGGATCCCATATGAAACACGGTTTTTGATCAATTAGACATCATGCTGGTGACGACGGGTTTATGGAATCCGGGCCTGAAGCGAAATTCACAAAAAAAAAAATGCAAAACAAAAGCAAAATCGAATACCTAATATTTGATGTCTATTTCCTTTAGTTTGGTAATCTTGTCAAACACAGATCGAGGGTAAGTAGTTTGACGAAATAATTGTTTAAGCTCTAGGTCTGAAGCCAGACAAGGTGTCAATTTCTCAAGAATGATAAAAGGATATAGAGAAAAGGGAGATGGGTAATAGATTAATAGTAGAAGACGGTTAAAGGCTTACACGATATGGAGGTAACCAAGAGAACAATCACTTTTAAGCTGCAATACAACTGTTGCCTCCTTCCCAACATTGTACACCTGTAAAATTTCCAATTATTTGACACAACATATTATCTAATTTCATAAATCCTGAATGAATAAGAACAAATCTTGAAAATTAGGAGTTCTAAGATACCTTATAAGTGATAGGAAAGATGCTCTATTTCTTGTGATTTTTCATGAAACTGTTAAATAGAAATGTAGAGATAAAGCCCAAAACTGAACTGGAAGCCCTAACCTGAACACATCAATAAGAACACAATTATGAAAAACTGAAAAATCAAAAATCGAATCGGTCACCAATCAACTGCAGGTGGGTACACTATTGGAAAGCAATAAGATGCCTTACACTTTATAGTAGCCAAGGCTTCATACTCATTCTCCATGCGTTCCAAATGCTCATAAGGCTCAACTCCAAAAGCAACCACCTCTGAGAGAGCCAATGGATCTATATCCATGTGAGTTAGCAAGGGCATTTTAGTCATTATGGGTCTTCAAATCCTCCTCTTAATTTTTGGTCCCTTTGTTTAGCTATTTTTGAAAGTACTCAACCACCAAAAACCTCCTGCTTATTTCCAGAACAAAATAAAAAATATATATATGTTGAAAATTCATAATTAAAATTAGAAATTCAACAAGGAAATTCGTAAACACCTCAATACATGCTAAATACAGTATACATATAACCCAAAGAAAAATCTCCACAAATAAAGGATAGAACTCCATAGCTTCTTACCTTCTCTAGGATACCAGGTATGGATGAATTTTCCATCTTTACACAAGTCTATAACAATCTTATATTACCTGTGCAAATACATATACATGAAACAAATAGAAAATTAGAAGCCACATGGATAATGTTTTTTACATGTATCAGACAAATAGAAATTCAGAAGCCATGTAGATAATGTTTCTTGCCCTTTAGAATTCACGCAGATTCTAGTTTTCTATTATGTTGCTCCCTCATTCCAAACAGAATTACAATTTTTTATAGGAAAAAGAATCTTTTGGACTACAGATTTGTCAATTTGTTTTGATAATTTTATGATAAGCCATAAGTAACCCTAAATTTCCAATTTGTCTGTGTTTTGAACCAATTTGTCAAAATTAAGTACTATTCAGAGAATAAAAGTCAACATGAGGTGGAGAATCACCAAATCAAGGGAAAAATCGACAAAACCAAGAAAAAATTCGAACAATAGAAAAGATAATTTAACACCATATATGTTTATATAGTGAATAATGCCGATTTGAGAGAGACGTGGTTTGAAGTTTCATAAAATCTCATGTTTGAAAGCCCTATGTCGACTCTTTTTGGACTGTGGTCTCGATTCTTGTAGTTAGAATCACATATTTGGGGGTGCGATCGAGCCCACTAAGTTTTAGATGATATTAGCATACCTTCAACACAAGGAAGATGACGTTATTGAGAGGGAGGCTTGTAGTGCGAGACAAATCACTAAGAAGATCTGATGGTCGTTAAACCAGACCTAGGGCTTGTAAACTTGAGCATTTGTGGCGGTCTCCGTCAGGGTAAGGTTAGCCCAAGCTCGCCGGCTAAAAGAGATGAGTTGAGATCACTGGTGGATGAGGTGAGCCAAGGCAGCGAACGTTACAGAGAGCACTCCCATCTTGAAAAGAACCCTAGAATGATCCCTTCGATTTTTTGATAAAATAAATAGTTCGGAGGCGCGTTCAAGAATTATAAAGCGACATACTTACACGACACGCCCTTTATGATGGGTGCCCTCCGTGTTTTTATTTTTATTTTTTTCTGACACAAATTTTTGGGCGCGCAAAAATGCGCGTCCAAAATCCTTCAAAATTTTGGAGAGATGACATTATTTTTACATCACAAACGTTTGCTTATCGTAAATTCGTGCGCGTCATAAATTGCGCGTCATTAAAGGCCTTTTTTTCTAGTAGTGTCGTTTACTTTAAAATAATTTCCTTCGACGAAACCTAGTATTATCACCAATAGATTTTAGTCTATTATTCGCCGAGACTAATTAATAGTCTAGCTATTATTACTATTATATAAGTGTTAAAAAAATACTTATATAACCCATAATAATAGCCCAAGTATTTATTATATGTTCTTAATAACGTTAATATAATTAAATAAAAACTATATTAAAAATAGCGTAGGCGTAGCTCACTTACAGCGGGTTTTATAGAAAACCAGGCTTTGCTTGGAGCAACATTTCCGAGCTGAAAAGCTCTTCTTCTCGGAGCCGTTGAGCACTCCGGGGCTTCCGCCTCGTGCTAGGGAGGTTCCCTAGGCTTTCGAGGGATTCCGGGGTTAAAGAGAGGTTCTAGAGAGAGAGTAAAGAGAAGAAAGAATGTGAAAGGTGTGAAGAAAATGAGGGTGGGAGAGGTGGTATTTATAGGGTGAAAATGGCTGAATTTGGTGCCACATGTCACCATCTAGTGGCAAGACTTGGGGAGAAAGCAATGGCCAAGATTGTGCCACATCACCCATTTTCGCACAGCACACTTCGACTTCTAAAATCCGTAACTTTCACATACAACCTCCGTTTTTGATGTTCTTTATATCCACGCGTAAGTAAAAATAATATCTACAACTTTCATTTTGACTCCGTCGGCTAATTCTCGACCGATCTTAAATTTAACAGTACGAGGCGTTTAGACTGTTAAATGACCGCGAAGAATTCGTAACTCCTTCATACAGACTCCGTTTTCGTATGTCTTTTTACCGTTAAGTTCCTATTAATGAGATCTTCAACTCTCATTTAGGTCGCATAATCCAAAAACTGCTCGAACTAAAATTCAAGTTTCGGGCTGTACACTACTAAGCCAAATCTTAGAAAAATCATAACTTCTTCATACGAAGTCAGATTTGGGCGTTCTTTTTATGGATTTTCTTGGTTTAACATATTATACGACTTTCGTTTAGATCACTAAGGCTAAATCTCGCTCTATCATAAATTCACTTTTTACGCTTCCCGGTGTCGTGCCGGTTCCGTCGCGAAACTTCGACGAGTCATAACTTCTTCGTTATAACTCGGATTTCAGCGTTCTTTATATGTACGGACACCTTGTGACATATACTACAACTTGGTTAAAATTATTTATTCTAAATAATATTTTGTCGAAAATTCATTTTCGACCCCTATTATCTCTAAATTGACTAGCCCGGATCTACGGGCGTTACATTCAGACACTGCACCACATCTAGGTGAGTTACCTTCCAGTAGGAGTGGGTCTAAGGTCACAATGCCGACCCAACATCAGGGGTATTTGGTGGATAATGGTCTATGTGATAATTATCTTGGTATGTTTATGTGATGTGGTCATAAGATATGTTTGTATGATATGCAGTGTGTTTGTTAGTGGTAGTAGTAGGGAATAGTTTTTTCCCTTACATCGGTCGTTAGGATCGAAGGGTAGGTTAGTACCTAGATATGTCTGATTATATGATTTTATCTTGATATTGTATGATAGCAGTAAGGGGTGAAATAGTACCCGGTTACTGTTGGATAAGGTGTCTAAGTCCATAACTTATTTGGTATATACTTGACCCGACCCGGCATGGTCCATTTGGGTTGCATTTCATCCAAACTATTTATGGATAATTTTATGAGAGTTATACACATATGTTTATTAATATATTATAAGTTATAATATATTAATATGAAGTTATGTTATTTAATTAGTTTTAGTCTTAAATTAATTATGAATTAATTTAGAGATTAAAAGGAAGACTAATTAGATTATGGGCTATTGGTTTTATATAGTGTGGGCTAATACTCATTTGTTAATGGGCTAGGCTTATATGGAAGTCCATGGATGATCCATGGAGCTTTCAACCCATGGATCCTTGGAAAGGAAAAGACATGGGTTATTAGGGTTTCACCCTAACCATGCACACTATATAAGCATGCTTATGGAGCATGAAATGAAACGAGTGAACTAGTGTGTGTGAGCTTGTGTGTGGCCGACAACACAAGAGTGTGTATACTCTCTCAAAGTTTTCCAAGTGTTTGTGGTGATTTGTGATTCCATTTGATGCATTCACACTATTGGTGCTTGGCCCTCAAACTCCAAAGAATCAATCCCATCAAAAAGGTATGTAATCTCTTCTAACTCTTTTATGTTTAAAAGTACCCCATGGCATGTTAGATAGGTTATGAACCTTGGAAAAATTATTATTTTGCATGTATTTAGACAAACATATATCCAAGGTTTATTAGGGTTACATGCACACTTAGGATGTGTTAGATTGCTCAAAACCCAACAGTGGTATCAGAGCCAGGTTTGCTTGTTTGATACTTGATGCAAAATAGTTGAAAAAGTCGAAAAACTTGCTGTTTGACTGATGAACTCGCTGAGTCCATGGGGGGACTTGCCGAGTCCATGTGTATCTTCAACCTACTCGCCGAGTAGGTTCATGCACTCGACGAGTAGGATCGACAGAGTGCATATTTTCGACTTTTGCTGCTGGAAATGGACTAGAAACATTACCCTAAACTGTTTTGGTGTTTTAAAACTTATTTTAGTTGGTGTAATGGTTGTTCTAATCCATTTACAATAGCATATATCAAAATTCCATGATTTTATGTGTTCATATTGTTGGATTAATGTCTAAGTCCATAACTATAATTGGTAAAACTTGACCCGACCCGACATGGTCCATTTGGGTTGCATGGCATCATGCACTTGGATAGACTAAAATGAGAGAAATAACACTTAAGGTTTGTTAATATATTATAAGTTCTAATATATTAATAAGGTTATTTAATTAGTATTGATCAAGAATTAATTTGGAATTAATTAAGTGATCAAAAGGAGACTAATTAAATATATGGGTTGATTGTGTAAATCATTCATTCTTATATATGTGGGCTTGTGATCCAAGATTCCTTATGTTGGACTAAGTCCATGGGGTGACCCATGGATACTCCATGGAGGTTAAAATCCATGGAGCATAAGGAATGGGTAAAGTCATGAGTTACATGGTGTAACCCTAATAGCCACCATATAAAAGAAACCCATGGCTCAAGAAATCGACACTATGTGTGTGTGTATGAGGGCTAGACGATTTCATGAAGTGTAGAATTCTCTCTAAGTTATTCCAAGTGTTTATGGTGTTGTGTGAACCATTTGAGGTGTCACACTTGGGGCACTAGGCACTCAAGCTTCATGAAGACATTCTACATCAAAGAGGTATGTATTCTATCTTGTTATATTGATAGTTTTGTATGCTAGATTAGGATAATACCTTGGATGTTCATATTTGCATGTATAATAGAGAAAACATAGATCCAAGGTATTTAGGGTTACATGTACACTTAGGAGTGTTAGAATGCTCATAACCCAACAGTGGTATCAGAGCCTAGGCTTGTTTTCTTGTTATACCTGCAATAGAAGCTGAAAAATCGAGTTTTGATGCTGTCAGCCCAGAAGACTCGCCGAGTCCATGAAGGGACTCGACGAGTCCAAGGCAAAATGCATC